TTCGTGAATATGCGGATGTTGATAGATTCAGCATCATTGCTAGGAATAAGAATCCGCGATGTTAATTATAATATAAGAACCATCGATGTTATATGAAGATTATGTTAAATGATTATATGTTATATTATATGAATACTTTTCCAAATATAAATGTTAGATTAGTATATTGTAACATGAAAAAACTGATAAAGAATACAAAGAAAAATTTTGAATGAAACGTAATGGGTTGTTTGGGAAATTTATTCTAAATATTTAAAATAAAATGAAGTTTAAGAAAAAATTTCATCGATCTTTACTATAAAATCATATATCCATAAAAGAAAACTGTACAATAGTTTCATATAGTATGCAGAAATTATTGTAAAATATAATATTTGAGTAATTTTTTTTTTATTTTCATGCGATGAAAATGATGATAACATTGCGCATTTTCTAAATTTTTAGAATTAACGTGTTTTAAGTTTTTATTATAATGGATACGTTTTTTAACAAATGAATTCTAAGAATAACAAATAAGCTCGAAATATTTATAAAACATATTCCATATAAGGGATATAATATATAAGGGATATTTAAAGAATGGAACGTCTATAGTATATTTATCTCATAAAAATGTATTTATCATAATCTATTTATTTGATTGTGCCGATGAATTTAAAATGTTAATTTGTTTAAAAATGACAGTATTGTATGACATCTTAAATAAGATAATTATATTATTAATAAATTATTAATAAATTGTATTGATGTATTGTATTGAGTATTATTAAGAAATCAAATCGAAAGAAAGGAAATCTATGTAATAATGTAATTCAGAAAATAGTAGTAACATTTATTCACATAAAAATTCATTTATATAAGTTAAAAATTCTTTGTAGTAGCACAAATTATATTGACGGGCGAATGAAAAAAGATACGCTTAAAGAAATTATATATTATATTTTAATTCCCGGATCATAATACCGATATAATTATACAATTAAAAAAAATTCATTTCGTATTCATAGTATAGAAATTGAATAAAAATATATATTCATTATGAATATATTTTTTTTAATTGTTATATATAATATTTAATATAATAATAATATAAATAATAATAATAATATAAAGCTATTACAATAAAAAATGAAGTAAATAGTTGTTAAGTGTTGTTAAAATATGACTTGAATATTGCACAAAACAAATGCTTAACTGAATACTACCATTTAAAGAATCATGATTATGGAATCCATATAATTGTTTATATTTTAAATCTTGAATAAGTTTAATGGTGATTAATTTTGGCTTCTTTAGTTAATTGACGATTGGATTCGTAATTTATGATTTCTAATTTATATCTGATTGACTTCTTTTTTTGTGGTGGATTAAATAATATTATAATACTAATTGATGTTGTGTTTTGAATCTTTTGATCAAACTCTGATTTTTGGAAATTGTTGCGGATCTTAATTTTCCCTCCTAATTAAAATCTAAAATTCCTTCCTAATTTTCGGCGAAAATGTAATTAAGAGAGTGGAAATAAAGCAATAATAGTATTGAAAAATAAAATAGACACTCTCACTAAGGGATTACATTGTATTGCACAGGGATCAAGATTCTTGAATTTTTTTGATTGGGTGTTATTTGATACTCATGCAAATGTAATTTATTATTATTATTGTAATTTAATTTCGAATAATTATTGAATATATTTAAAAAATATAAGGAATTGTTCATAAATTATTGCTAAAAACTTAAATTGTTGAAAATGAAGTTATTGAAAATTGAAATTCAATTATTTTGCTTATTATTAATCAGTCCTAATTTTTGTGTATTATCGAATCAACATATCGTAATGTATCGCACAAAAATTACGGCGATTGCTAACGTTAAATATCGCTGTCACTATATGTTTTATTAAGTTATTTCGTTTCTACATTAAAAATAAAAATAATTTTGTACTTTTCTTTAATTTAATAGAAACAAAATTTACTTGTTTTTTATATAATTTCATGGTATGGTTAAATTTTTTTTAAATTTTAAGAACATAGTAAGCATATATCTATAGTCAATAAAATATATTTATAAATTAGCAGAAATAGATATAAATATTAATATTTAAAAAAACTTCAGGCTATGATTAGTATATTTAAAAAAAAATGATCAAATCTAGAAACGCAATTATAGTAATAGTGCAAAATTTAAATAAATATAGTAATAGTGCAAATTTTCAAATAATAAAAAAAGTATTGTTTAATATCATGGTTAAAATAATTATCGAAATTTAGTAAATTAAAAAACTTTTATATCCATATCCATATCCAATATATAAAAATTTATATATCCATATCCATATTCAATCATATTTAAACTTTTTAAGAAATTAATTTTAAAAAGACTGATTTCTATTATAAAATAAAATCTATAGATAATAAAATCTAATTTAGATTTAAAATCATTGTTAAATATACAACCATTGATCAAGTTTCTAACAAAGAATGTCATCAAAGAATGCTATGAAAAAAAAGAAATATACTTAGCTGTTTTCCTAGATATATATATATACAAATTTTCCACAAAATTCAACATAAAAATTTTATCCATGAATTAAAATAATAGTCATCTCAAAATTATTATGAGTTAATAAAATTATATCTTACTGATAGTTATTTTAGAGTTAAAATGAAAAAAAAAAAAA